TTGCGAATCGGATGACACTACCGTGCCATCTATGTTTCAAACCTCTGGCAGAAAGTACGAGTTAGCTGGAGTGGCAGCACTTTTATTTAAAATTCCTTTTTAGCTATTCTTTGCATAGTATTACCCTCCATATTCATTTCAATTTGGCTGCTAACTAAAGTGTTCCATGGTTTGCCTTTTTGAAAAAAAAAAAACAGTTTTCAAGTTGTTCGAAAATGGCAGCTTATAAAAATTAAGGAAAAAAACCAAAATTACAATATGACTGGTAAAAATAGGTAGAGCTTTAATTTAGAAATTAACTAGTGACGCCCAAGATAGAATTTCAAAACTGCTGACTCAGTAAAGAACAAATTTTGCAAGTAAACAATATTATATAAATAGTTAAAGCACAAGTGTGTTTGTTCATGCAACACTTCATTCGCCTGTTGCACATATTCATGCAATGTCCAACCGCTGTATAAAATAATTAACTAATTGAGATAACATTTTGTTGGCTTCAATTAATTACATATACCTATTACTAAATGGCCTTATACTTCTTCCCTAACTTACAGTCGGGCGTATCACAGTAGGACAAAAACAGATGGCCGTGGACTAATTGATTTTAAAAGCACGAATCTAGAACGGTTTTAAGTTACAATTTTTTAATGAAAGACAATGAAATTTCGCATCGAACTATCATTGGCGATTTTTGAAATAAGCTTTTACTTTTTGATGTATTATGGAACGAATTTCCGTCATCCCTTGTCAAATTTGGTTTGGAGACAAACCGGTTTCGGCGTTGTGCCATCTTCAGTGTCATATTTCGTTCTCTTTTACTTTTTATTAATTTATATTGAAAAAACGAGAGCGAAAAATGTGTATGTTTGAATGCTAATACTCTTTTGTAAAGTACTTGAAATTAATCCCAAATTATTCATAAAAAATTTTCCATAGCATAGAGTAGATTAAAAAATTGATTGAATTTGCTATTATATTATATATTCGAACAAGAGCTAATTTTTTTTTATTAACAAAAGGGATTATCTAATTTATTTTACTGGGAAGTACCTACTACGCTGCACCTATTTTCTTATTAATGGCGTTTTCGTTTCTACAAAAAATGTTGCTTCTTCACTGCCCTCTTCTTAGTATTTGTGCGTAGAAGGCAAGATTTTTCGGTAGAAACGAAAACGCTATAAGTTTGATAAAAAGCGGGCATACATGGCGTATGAGTAACAAAACTTTCCACTCTCAATTCATATGAAAAAATTAATCACTTAGTTTATAATAATCGATTATGTAGGAAAATGATTAACCGGAGGGAAGTACTTCGATATTTTTTCAATACAAAACCATTTTTCTTCCGCCTGTTTCCATGAAATATTTTTGCCAGTGAGTGATTAAACTCTCAATTAAAAAAAATACACATTTGTTTAAATATTTGTTAATACAAATTAAAAAAAAAAATTTGAATCAACTATCTTACAAAAAAAAAAAATATTTATGAATATTTTTTAAAATTCTAAAATTTGAATCGACTATCTTACAAAAAAAAATATTTATGAATATTTTTTAAAATAATTGCAGACATTCGGGATTAATTTCACGTGCTTCCCAAAAGGTGGTAGCAACAAAAATTAATAAATAATTTGAGCTTGTTTAAAAAATTACCGATTTAAGTTCAACGTGAAATTTTATTATCTTTCAATTATTTCAGCTCAGTTCATATTTGGGCTCTTAAAATCACGGCCATATTTTTGCCCCACTGTGTGTACTGCTACTTGATCACGTCTTTGTGTTAAGCTATCACTGACTGACTTAACGTTTTGTCCATATATTACATACATACGTGGGTGAGTACTTAAGGCACGCGCTAGCAAAATTAGGAACAAAGCTTGAAAGAAATAATACCACATAAAAAAGAACGCAATAATACAAGAAGAAGTATATTTATGTACATAAATTCTAATTTTCTTCCACTTCACCTTAAGTAGTACTTATTCGAGGTGAGTGAGACGTCCATGGAAAATCATACTCATTTTGAGAAAATTAAGTAAATTATTTTCATTTCGGACATTAAAAAAAAAAGTTCTGCCCCAAACGGGCAAACTTTGAACAAATTTTAATTAAATTAAGTAAGGACATCAGAAAATTCAACTTCAATCTATAACTGCATTTTTACGAGCTTTAAACCTTTATTCAATTATCCTAGATTTATTAGCCCTGAAACAGCGTCTTTATTTGGCATATGTGAAAGCAGACTATATCGACACCTGAGTGGAAGACCGACCTATCTCAGAGAACTTTTCAAGAACGCCCTATTTCAGAGTTTTATTGAAGAACGCTCTATCTCATAATTCGATTTAAAATGCCCTATCTCAGCACATTTTTCAATGTATTTTCAGCTGAGATAGGGCATTTTTAAACCAAATTCTGAGGTATGGCGTTTTTCAAACAAATTATGACGTCCATACAAACATGTGTGCCCCTAGATTTGAATTTAAAGCGTCCAGATTTAAGAATAAAAACAAGTTCATTGGTATGACATTTTTATGAACTTTTAACCATAGAAGCCCGATCTACTTGAAAGTTACGTACGTTTTAGAGGCGTAGGTGACTTAAAAGAGAAATGTTTTTTTTTTAAAGAATATTGAAGTTGTGATATAAACTAACAATGGGCGCGTTTCTAAGACGCAGCTGTTGCTGAACTTTTGAGTGTTTGTTTCAGAAACGCACAGTTGAGTAGTTCCGCCCAGCTCAACGGTTGGCAACTTTACGCCATTTTTTCCATCATAAAATTATTTCGCTACATGAAGTCAACAATTTATATAAGCCAAAAATGATGTTTCCCTTCCGTCAGTTTTCATAGAAAATTCAAACAAAAAAATAATTTGTATGTAAATTGTTGGCGAAACTGGCTGTTAATAAAATAAAATACACGTACAAATACATATATTAAAAATAAAATAAGAAAAACTAAATTATAAATCCTGCGCTATCCATATAGTTGGCTTAAAATTTTATTTTTTATTTTTGTGCTGTTTTATTTAATTTTGCTTGTTTACAAATGTTTTGGCAGTTTATGTATCATCAGTTGCGTCTTAGAAACGCGCCCAATAAAGCATAATTTTATTGATAAAAACTACAACCACATTTATTTAAAACGACAAAAAATAAAGACACTTTTGTGTTCAAAATAAAAAAAAATCAAGATTCCGTATACGCCTCGCTGACGTAGATGGGGCTTTTAGGGTTATGGCATCAAAATACAGAATACCGGACAAATACGGGAATTTAAAAGCACTACAGAACATTTGGCGTCCCGTACGAAATAAATAAAAGGAGGACTGTCCCTTATAATACATGACGCATGATCGCCGTATATATGTATGAGTGAAAGCTATGTTAGTCGCTTCTTTAAAAATACTAGACCGAATTCGACTATTTTTCGTACGTAAAATCTACCACTATTGATTTTTTCGAAGTCCGTGCACTGGTTGAACGAGGGCAGCCATGATAACCTATAAATTTTAAAGTTTATTATCTGCACATAAATATACAGTCAACATCAAAAATATGCATACTCTGACGTTTTGACGATTTTATTTATTTATTTATATTTTCCACACAAATTTGTTCTTATTTAAAAAAACACATAGTTCATTGAACCGCGAAAACCATAAGAAATAATTTTTTAGTTTCATAAAGGGCTTGCGGAAAATGCAAAAAATTGTCATTGAAAACCCTCGGCGATAAGACTCGCAAAAATCAACAGCAGCTTTTTGCTACTTCAAACTAGCATTTTTTATACTAAAATTTAATGAACTACAATACAGCATACTCAAAATGTTTGTAATAAATCCAATTAAATTGAAAATTTCGATAAAAATTTTTCGCATTATGAATGAACAAAATTTTTATAAAAAATATGAAAAATTTTTGTATGGAAAATATATGTACATAAATAAATGAAATCATCAAATCGTCAGGCTGTGCATTATTTTATGTTGACTATAGAAATACAGTGCATACGATAAAAAAAAATCACTGCATTTACCAATCGACTACGGGAAAGTGAACAGTCGCAGCGTAGTACTTTTCACTGCAATTATATAGAGAATTTCTTCTCCCTATAGTGTCGCATTTTTATCTTTTTGATTAATGCATTTGATTTGACGCATTGAGTAGGACCTATTTTCTTAGTTTTTCGTTAATTTAAATAATACCCTGGTCACGCTAGTTGCTACTTTTTGTATATGTTATTCAGTACAATTTTCTGAATCGATTAGTGTTCTAGGTTTGATTTTTTGGTGTGCTGGCTATTAAATCGTTCCACATTGACTATACTATGCATATTAGCGTGGGCCGAAAATCCGCTTTTTTAGAATTTTGATTGGTAATAGCGAAAATATGGTTTATTATGCTTTCCAAAAAATCTATGTGAAATTTGGAATATTTTGGTCAATATCCTAGGCTCGCCCAAGTCCATCAAAGTTCAAGTACTAAAAAAAATTTTTTCTTAGCTAACTTCGATTCTCTACAAAAAAGGTCCATATACCAAATTATGTAGGACTAATACTTTCGAAGATTATTGCAATTTTAGTAAAAAAATGTATTAATTAATTTATTTATAAATTTTTATTTTTTGAGCATATTGAACTTTGATGGCCTTGGGCGAGCCTAGTATATTGACCAAAAAATTCGAAAATTTCACACAGACTTTTTTAAAGCATAATGAACCATATTTTTGCTATTACCAATCAAAATTCTAAAAAGCCGCATTTTCGCCCCACGCCAATGCATATGTATGTTTCCCTGCCGTAAATAATCTTATTCGCTTCACTAGCAAATAAAAAGATTATAAGTATTAGATTGTAAAATTTTATAAATGCCTGTTAGTTCCTCGGCGTAAAATACAATAAAAAAAACTAAGGCATAAAAATGGCTGTTTATAGAATATTGATTATAACAAAAAAAAAAAAATAATAGCATGACTAATTAAACATACAAGTAATTACCTTAGAAAATCCAGCAAGTTGCCGAAACTACAATATTCCGTTAACAAAAGCATTTCATTGTAACGCTTCGTACAATGCCCAATTATACCAACAATATTCGGATGCGGCTCCACCGACTTCATCACTTCAATTTCACGACGAAAAGCGCGTACATCATCGACAGTTGGCCGATCTATTTGCGTGGCCATAAGGAGATTGAAATGGAAAAGAAAATAAATACATATGTATGTATGTATGTGTGCGAATTTAAAGTCGGCTGCTTTAATTTATGTACTTCTACAAATAATCTATTATGCGTTCACTTAGCAAGAAAAACCAAACGTTTTGCTTATTAAGGACATTTATGTCAAAATATGTACCATCAATAGCACATCATAATAACTTACATTTACATACATCCATATGTACATAAGTGCCCAGCTAAGCATACCTTTCAGCATTTTAACAGCCACTTCACGTGCCTCCGATTTGCCATCATTGTAAGTGCCCCGTCGCACTAAACCAAACGCACCTTCGCCGAGTATTTCATGCAACGTAACATTGCTACAGTCGATTTCCATGGCATCATTAAAAAATATTTTCTCTTCGAGATCCAATTGAAATAGCGTTAAGTCTTCTGGGGAGGTGAGTAAATTCTTTGTTGGAAAATCAAAGGTTGACTTTGGATCGATGGGGGCCTTCTTCTCCAGATCCTATAAATAAAATTATGGAAAAAATACCATTAAGTCGCCATGAAATAAGTAATACATAATAGAATCATGTTTTCGCTTCTGTCAATTTTCATATTACGAGTAAATTCGATCAAAGAAAATATGTGCTTACAAAAATGAACTCGACTACGCTTGAATAGCAGTTTAAAAATGTGAGTATGTGTATGTGAGCAGATCTCACGAGTTGTTTTTTACAATGCTTTTTTTAATGTCACTTCCTTCTCTCGCCAGAAAAAGAAACGCTAAAGCATTCATAGGCGAAAAAGTACCGAAATTACTAATTTTCTCATTGCCACTCGAAAAAATCTTAATTGTTATTTTTAAATAATTTTTTAGAGGCAATGAATGTTGGCAACAAATAAAATTTATCTGTGCAGTTTCAAGTGTATCACGAAATTAAAAACAAATTGAAGCATGCAGAATATTTTTTTTTTAATTTTCCAAAAATTTTAGATACTCCAAAATCTTAAAAATTAAACGGTAAAAATGTTCTTATTGCTTAAACGAAGGAATCTAGTGTATTAAAACCAGTGTGTCACAAAATGAAAAAAATACGTTGAGTAAAAGATGACTATGATTTAAGAAACTAAAATTCCATTTTTACACTTTTAATTGGCAAACTCGAAATTCATGCTAAAATTGTTTTATGTGAACATGAAGAAGTTAAAAATCTTCCACGCCAATATTTAATTACTTTTAAATAATATAACTTTTAATTTTAGGCGTGCGAGTAAACGCGTTAGCTGACTGCGCATGGCGCTACGGGGCGTATACGTTACATGCCCAACTACGGGTAAATGAGCATGAGTGGTTATTTTAACTTGTTTTAGTATGTACATACATATGTATGTACATCTTTTTAAAATTTCCCTTTAAATACAATTACGCGTTGCAATCTTGCTCTTTATACAAAACTGAAGATAATGCTTTTTCTAAGATAAGTGTGTCAACACCAATAAGTAAGGTCGGAATTTTAATTTATGATGCTTCTATATCGAAAAAATATACCCTTTATCGTTGAAATAAAAATATATTAAGAGCTTGCTCAAACGTTAACAGGTACTTTATATGTGGAAAAAACTATTTTTCATTGAAATAGTAGTAAATTAATATTTTTCTGTTTTGCTTCAGGAGATTTCAAATTACTTAACCATTTTTTAATATTAACGATTTGTATGGCCCCCATTAAAGTGGTTAAGTACTGGGTTCGAGTCTACTCTCCGACCAACATCGAAAAAATAAAACATAAAAAAGGTTGTATCTAAAAGCGTTCACCCCTCGGCAGGCAACGGCAAATCTCCGAATGTATTCAGCCATAGAAAACAGCTTATCATAAAAATACAATCGCTGTCCGTAGTCGGTGTAAAACTTCGCAACAATATTTGCTCAATTTTATTCAAAAGATTAGTTTTTATTTGAATATGTATGTATTTTGATATCTTGTTTGGAACTGCGTCATGCAGCTTAAAAATTAAATAGAAAATTCAAAATCAAAAACTGCTTTGCTTTCAGCTTCAAAACGCCTGTGAAAAAGCTTACTGTTTGAACACATGCCTACAGCTAAAGCAATTTGAAAGCTTCACTCCGCTTTCTGTGTAAACGTACCCTAAGCCGATTGAAAAATAAAGAAATTCAAGGATTCTACATATACAATTTCTACGAACCTCTAACGGTCCTCTAAATATATGTATTTTAATTCCAAAAAAAAATAAGATGGCATTAAAATTCCGACTTTTTTTGCTTTGGACCACCCTAATGTACATATGGGTAGTATAATTAAGATGCGTCATATCCATTCATTGGGTTCGTATTTCAATCAAAGCTCACATCTACATAAGTGTTAAAAACTAATTAAGTGCTAACTTGCACTGACTAAATGTGTGTGTGTGTGCGTGTGTGTGTGTGTAAAATATTGCTGTCACTGTGTTTATCCAACTGAATATCGCCAATGTCTAAGTAGGCTAAACAAATTAAATTATGCAACACTACGATGAGTGCTCCGTTTGCTAATTAATTGCCGAATGCTGTTACACTCAATCAATTTATAAGGTAAAGAGATACATACACATACACATTTATGTCCATTATATGTGTAGCTACACCATAGCTCAGGTACGGGCAAGCAGGTGGCTAATTTTGGGTTGGGGATTTCTAAATGCTACAAAGAGCCACAAAAATTGTTAACCGAGACCTATTAAAGCCAAGAGGCCTATGTTAAAGCTTTCTTTTTATACCCGAGCGCACTTGTGCACAAGGGTATATTAATTTTGTTCACATAACGGTTGTTTGTAACAGCCAAAACGAATCGAGATAGATATAGACAAATGTATACATAAATGATCAGGATGAAAAAAGAAATCGATTAAGCCATGTCTGTCTGTCTGTCCGTCCGTCCGTCTGTCCGTCTGTCCGTGTACACGATAACTCGAGCAAAAATTGAGATATCTCAACGAAATTTGGTATGTAGGTTTCCCTTAATCCAAGGTAGGTTGGTATTGAAAATGGGCGAAATCGGACTTTAACCACGCCCACTTCCCATATAACGGTAATTTCCAGAAATACGAAAACTGCGATATTTTAGTAACTACTGAAGATTATTCACTCAAAATTGATATTTACAATAATTTTTAGACGAAAAATAAGAATATTATAAATTTTTGGAAAATGGGCGTAGCCACGCCCACTTATGGTTACATGTGTATATCTTGGTAACCGCTGCACCAATTTCTTCCAAACTTGGCACAGTTGTTGGCCTTCGCATAACATACCAAATGGCCGAAAATTTTTAAAATCGCTCAATAACCACGCCTACTTCCCATATAACGGTAATTTTCAGAAATACGAAAACTGCGATATTTTAGTAACTACTGGAGATTATTCACTCAAAATTGATATTTACAATAATTTTTAGACGAAAAATAAGAATATTATAAATTTTTGGAAAATGGGCGTAGCCACGCCCACTTATGGTTACATGTGTATATCTTGGTAACCGCTGCACCAATTTCTTCCAAACTTGGCACAGTTGTTGGCCTTGGTACAGCATAAAAAACCGCCGAAACTTTTTAAAATCGGACAATAACCACGCCCACATCCCATATAACGGTAATTTAGAGAAATACAAAATCTTCGATAAATCATTAAATATTGAAGCTAATTTATTCAAAATTGATGCTTGCAACAATTCTTTACCAAGAAATACGTTTATGGTAAAATTTTGGAAAATGGGCGTGGCACCGCCCACTTATGATCACATATAAGTATATCGGTAACCGTTCTACCAATTTGTACCAAACTCGGTATGGTTATTGTACTTGCCACGTGTAAGCAAAACGTTGAAAATTATTGAAATCGGACTAAAATAACGGCCGATTCTCATATAACGGTAAATTTAAGAAATGCTTGAAACTTCAGTATTTCGAAATTGAAGGACGCTAATTTACTCAAAATTGATACACCTCGGCTTACCATCTAGCGGAAGGTTTCGGAAGGGTGAAAAAACATATATTTAATACTTGCGCCGGGTATTTAATGTTCGGCTCCGCCCGAACTTAGACTTTCTTACTTGTTATATTGTACGAATATCCATTTCGTCTCTGTATTCAACTATGGCAGTTATAGGGGTTCAAAAATGTCAAAAGCACGTTTTTCAAAGTCAATCCTACCGTTTGCTCGCCAAATTCGAGACGTCGCTTTCATTAAACAAACAGATAGGACTAGCTATGAATGCATCCACAAAAGGTTCCTGTTCGTTGCGGATTTTAGGTATGCGGCGTCATTGGTTCGTACTTTTGGGAAAACGATGTTGTTGAGACCACTAACTTCAATGACGAACGCAACAGTTTAAACCTCTAATGCGCCTTTCTCACGGCCCAGAGTCTTATCCTCTGCCCTACGAAATCAACGGTGACCCTTTTCTACACCTGAACCAAGGAGTTTCAGGTGCAATTAGGCTCCTCAAATAGCTCGCCAACAAAAGTTGTTAGCAACAAACAAGGCAAGTGACCCGCCAGTTCTAAACTATGCTGCGCCTCGTTGGCCGCCGTGGACAAGTAGGCCGCCGTACGAAGCTTGTGTACCACATGCAGGGGCCTCTTATCGGAGTTCCATTTTATTTGCATTTAATGACATGCATAATATCGAAGTACATAGTACGTTAATATTTACAACAACATGAATACCTAAATACTTTGGTACTTATTATTTAGGAAGTATAATTTTGCCCATCACTTATCATTTTATATGATTATTATTTTTCAGTACATTTAATTTTTGTAAATAGAGCAATAAATATATCCAGATAACGCAATCACCACGAATGCATGAAAGTAAAAAGAGACCCATGATACTTAGCAAAAATAAAAATATAAAAAGCCGCAGTCAAGGATGCCAACTCTGGCAAGGCCAACTCCCCAAAATTCCTAAAATTTTGCCCCATTTTTACTGTCTTAAGTAATTTTCTCCCAGTGTTTAATAAGAATAATGGAAATGGTATGGATTATACACAAAAGTGCCAAATGCGATTTCAATCAAGTGACGACGAGCGAATCTAGCATGTGGTTGAAACATTTCTATGTATGTTGTATGTATATGTAAATAATAACGTGGTGTCTTCACCTTGCGCGCCAGTCAGCAGATAAGCAGGATGGGCGTCAAACGACTAAACTAAATTAACTGAAAGGATAACAACATAAAAGTTGATGCCCAACATTCACCTCGTGACCTTCTTTACTTGTTTAGCAAACCAAACTTAGGAAGTGAAAAACGGACAGAGTAGTTATGTTTCGCTGGCTTTGTGTTAAATTAAAAAAGTTTTCTAGAATTCAGTTACATTGAAACATATTTATGTATACATATACACAAAACCTACTTGAAAGGAAGGTTTGAAGACCAAGGCGAATTCTTGTAAGAACAACAATGGTGACCTAGTCACTGATGTCCTGAAGGTACTTATATAATTGAGGCAATACTTTTCCACCCTATTGAATGGCAACAGCACTGAGCACTAGGGGAAAATACGAATCCGAGCCCCCTTTCGATGACGACGGAATCGGTCTTTTACTACCTGACTATGACGAGGTATGAATAGTAATCACGCGCCTGAAAACCAACAAAGCTGTGGGAGCTGACGATCTGAACGCATGCCCGATGACTGGAATTTATGTGTGCTCTGCCCAATACATAATATAGGCGACCCCACCATACGCGCCAACTACGGCGGGATCGGCTTTCTAAGCAAAAACTGATCCCACCGTCAAGGAACTTACTGTGCTTTATCAGTGTGGTTTTAGACCTGGCAAGTTCACCATATTCCAATTATTCACGATACTCCAAATCTTGGAAAAGACCCGCGACAAAAAGGATCGACACTCACCATCTATTTGTCGACTTCAAAACCGCTTTCGACAGCACTAAAAGGTTAGCTATACGTCGATATGTCTGAATTTGGCATCCCCGCGAAACTGATATGGCTGTCTAAAATGGCGTTGAGCAATACAATCAGCTCCGTCAGCATTGGAAATGACCTTTCCGAGCCGTTTGATACCAAACGGGGTTTCAGACAGGGCGACTCCCTTTCTTGTGATTTCTTTAATCTTTTGTTGGAGAAGATAATAAGAGCCGCAGAACTGAACCGCTCAGGGACAATTTACTACAAGAGCGTCCAGTTGCTGGCTTAGGCCGATGACAACGACATCATCGGTAACAAAAAACCGCGAAGTCTATTCTGCCTTTTCCTAGGTGGGTAATGAAGCAAAGTGATTGGGTCTGGTGGTGAATCGGAACAAAACGAAGTATATCCTGTCATCAAACAAACAGTTAGCACATTCGCGCCTTGGCACCCACGTCACTGTTGACAGTTATAATATTGCTTGGAAACCAGCAACAACACCGATAATAATGTCAGCATCAAAACTCAACAAAGAATAATCTTAACAACAAGTGCTACTTCGGACTGAGAAGGTAATTGAGAAGTAAAGTTCTCTCTCGACGTAGGAAAACAACAATGTATAAGTCACTTATCATACCCGCTGGTGGTAGAAGTGTAAGTGGAGAAGGACTTTACTTACACTTGGCATTTCCAATTAGCGTCAGTTGCCACGGAAGAGAAACGACTAGCGTGTTTTGTTGAACTAGGCCAAAGTCATTTAGGCTCATAGAACAGATCATTGAACGCCTCGTCCTTACTTAATTTATACTTTCTTGTAAAAGAACTTCTCCTTCGTTGTCCAATATATTAGTATTTTTAAAATTCCTTTTTCTTGAATTCACAGAATATTAAATTTTACTTATAGGTTATATATCGACTGCTGTGTTGAAGATCGACCTATCTTGACAGTCAGTTGGAAAACGCTCTATCTCAAAAAACTTTACAAGAACGCCCTATTTCAGAATTTTATTGAAAACACCCTATTTATGCCAGAATTTGGTTGAAAAATGCCCTATCTCAGAATTCCGTTTAAAAACGCCCTATCTCACTTCGCAATATATTGAAAATGTGCTGAGATAAGGAGTTTTTGAATCGAATTCTGAAATAGGGCGTTCCTCAACCAAATCTGGAAATGGGGCGTTTTTGAAAAGTTTTTTGAGATAGGGCGTTTTCGAACTGGCTGACGAGAGAGGTCGATTTACCATTCAGCAGTCGATATGTAATTTTATTCACACATACTATGTACATACATACATACATAGATAAAAACACACTTACCAACTAAACAAATTACCTATGGGCCTAAATAAGTAATTGGTGGTAAAAGCTTCTTTCAGTTTATAATTTATTTACTTAGCTCCACTTCCGCTTAATAATAACAACAGTAAATTGGCGCTTACATTATATGTTAGTATTTGGCCGAGCTTCGCTTCCGCTTTGTGGCATGCGCCTTAATATTGTCGCACAAATGGGAAGGAGCTACGGTTTTACGCCGACACCGAATGGCGAATGTATTTTTATGAAAAAAAAAACTTTTTTCTCTTTTTTTTTTTTTGATGCTGGTTGGAAACTGGGCTCGAACTCCGACCCTGCGTAATGGTAGTGCGTACTGCTAACCACTACTCCGCAGCAGCCAGCTATGCATAGTAACTAGTTATGTACGTACATATGTACACTCACCAGAATATGTTTCCGTACAGTGATTTTTTTTAATATTCGCAATGTTTTTCGTAATAAATGTTTTCGTTAATTTTTGATAGAAATATTTATAGTTCATTCTGCATCAAATAGTATATAAATTAGTGATTCAAAGTTTTTATAAAATTTAGGAAAATTCGACAAATTTTCACCAAGATTTTCAACTTTTATACAAAATTTTTTTTGGATTTATTTGAGTATGCAGTTTTGTAGCTCAATTTCAGTTGAGCAAGTTTTAAGTGGCTGTAATCTACTGTTGATTTTTGAGATTTTTGTGCTGATTTGTTTAAAAGTTGAAAAACTTGGTGAAAGTTTGTCGAATTTTTCCAAATTTTGTAAAAACTTTGAATTATTAATTTATATGCCATTTGATGCAGAATGAACTATATTTCTATTAAAAATTATCGAAAAAAAATTATTACGAAAAACTTTTCTCATATTAAAAAAAACCACTGTACGGATACATATTCTGGTGAGTGTATGTGTATGTGTGCTTGTATGGATATTAGCCCACTAGAACTTGAAGGGAGATCTCCCTATGTGAGGAATAAAAGAGTCCTCCCCTTAACCTGATTTCTGAGCAATAAGAGAGATTTGTCGATTTTGTACTCCTTTATTACTCGTTTAGGAGTCAAATAAGAGATCTCCTAAGCGAGCGACGAAATAATGCTCCCTGAGGCATGATTTGGGAGCAATAAGCGAGATTTGTCGGTTTTGTACTCGGTTATTACTCGCTTAGGAGCTTAATGAGAGATCTCCTAAGCGAGCAATTAAAGAATGCTCCCTGAGGCATGATTTGGGAGCAATAAGCGAGATTTGTCGGTTTTGTACTCCGTTATTACTCGCTTAGGAGCAAAAAGTGATGTCTCCTAAGCGAGAAATCCAAGAGTATTCTTTTTGATTGATAGGAGAGCAATACGCACCTCACTCAAAAGAAATTTGTGTTTTCGAAAAAATTTATCATACAAAAAAACAACAGAAAATATTTCTTATAGAAGCATAAGGAGGACACAATAATTTAATTTGGATTGCACACAGATTTTAATAAAAGTCCGTTGGTATGTACTTCAACTTTTGTTTAAATATATTAAGTATGTATTGTATTACTTATAAATGCACCGTTAAATACTTTCCAGATTGCGCAAATTAGTGTCAGCATTTAAGTGTGACCGCGGGGCTTAAACTTCGCATGGGTGACAAAGATGTCAGATAAGCAAAGTCACCTTCACAATTTCCCCGCTTGGTGGATTCCTGAACAGGCAAGCATCCTTGACACCCAGGAAATCATAAGGAGTACATACTTATATGTTCATATAGGTGCATATAATTCAAATCTTATCTTACCGTTTTATTATTATGTTTTAATTTCATATGATTTCTCTGCAATATAATTCTAAAATTAAGCAATTATGTAAGACGTATCATTTATGTTTTATTTTTAAGATCTTGTAACATTGCACAAATGCACGTGATTAAAAAGTTATATACAAAAATTTAATAAATAGCAAAATCTATTTGGCTAATGTAAAATGTTCGTTATCATTGCTCTCTTATTACTCCTACAGGAGGCTTTCGGGATGTCTCTAATGAGAGCACTCCTTTATTGCTCGTTCGGGAGGAATATGGTATGTTTTCTATGTGCACTCCCTTGTTGTCTTTTTGGGAGGTTTCTGGGAGGTAACTATAGGAATACTCCCGTATTGCTCTATTAGGAGGTTTGTGGGATGATAATTCTGTGTGTGCTCCCCGATTGCTCGTTTAGGAGGTAAAAGGGATTACTCCCCCTCCTAGGACATCCAATGTTAATGGGAGTATACAAAATTACATGCTTATACACAGAAGCATAGGGAGCAATGGGGAGTATTCGTATACTCCCAAGGGAGTACTCACCGAGCAATCGTACGATGCTCCCAAGTTCTACTGGGAGTATGCAATGTTCTACTTACCTCAAAATACTTGCAACGCTCCTGGTATCTTTTTATTTTTGCCCGACGATGACAAACAATGAATGTCGCTAATGACAGGATGACAGCACAGAAGATTGGCGTTAGCACAGCGAGAATTAACTTCACAATAGATTGGCTCTTGTCTTTCGTTGTACAAACAAAAGAGACAATGTGCAACACGTAGCATGAAAAAAGAAAAACAATTAAAAATCTATGAATGTGACAACTGTTAAACGAAATTAAAACCGAAAAAATTACAGTAGAAAACGAAACGAAAGAAATAAGCTAATAAGCGGCAAACGAAAACACAATGTTGAGAGAATAGTTCTTAACATACGTAATTTATTTTTTTCGAAATTCGTTAAGCATACCATCTTCATACATATATATTTTTCTTTGTATGTATGTACACTGCCGGCAAAAAGTATTGGCACAGCAAATTTTTCAAAATAAATGCCTACATTTTTTTCTAATATTTTTCCACCAATTTTTTATAAAAATATGGTTCATTCTACAACAAAAAAAAAAACATAAAAACATAATTCCTAAACTTTGTGCAAAACTCTCGAAAATTCAGCAAATTTTTACGCAAATTTGGAACGTTTTAATCAGATTTTTTTCGAATATTTTCGAGTCTGCAGTTTTGCAGCCCATTAAATTCTAGTAAAAAAACTTAAAGTTCTGAGTTAGTAAAAAATCGCATTGATTTTTGAAATTTTTTTTATGGAAGGTGTCTTGCATTTTTTCCAAGTAAAGTATTTTCGAAAAGATTTTTTTGTATGGAATTGACTGCGTAAAAAAAAATCGCCAAAAATCAACGATAATTCCTAGCTACTTAGGTCGTGTACTTTATTGCAATAAAATTGATTCGATTACAAATCTGCATACTCAAAAAAATTCTAAAAGATCTGATTAAAAAGTTGAAAATTTTCATGAAACGGAGCTTTTAAAAGCTACTAAACCGCACAACTAAATTGTACCAGTCTAAATTGCAAAAATAAGACCAAGCATTCAGGATTAATTCCGACAGCAAGCTACTCTGGAATCTCAACTTAGTTCACCAGATGTTGGTAACTTTTATGGAATTTTTCTCAATTTTTCCGGTCAGGAATTTTGGTTGCAGTTTCTCATGACGCCAGATGTTGTTTTGACGTATATTTTGGAATGTGTGAAGCTTGTACATCCTCCAGACTTACGCAATGTATGGTATGTTTATCGAATTTCTGGGATACACCAACGTACATATAAGCATTGATAGTAAAAACAATAAAAAAATTTTACTTTTTGATAAATTCACTTGGACGTTTAGTTGGCTCTTTGTATTTATTAGTTAGACTAACGGGCGTATTCTGCTTGTTACCGAACGTTTTGACACCGGAAAATTTTGTTACCAATAAAAATAACCCGTCTTCTTGTAGCAGAAATTCTAAGTTCCTTGGTAACAATTTAATCTATTCAGCAATGAAGTTTTGTATAAATTCTGGTGTCGCATACTTCTCGGGGCAATATTTTGTTACTTGCTTATGAGATGGTAAAAAATGTACCAGTGCACAGATTGTCAAAAGGGTTGGAAAATAACCAGGAACTTTATTTATCGGTAACAAAATTACCAACGCAGAATAGTTAGTTACTTAGTGGATAATATTCGTTTAGTATGGAATTGAAGAGGTTGGTGTATCGTGGGATTTTCCAAACTCAAACTCACATTATTTATAAGCTGAATTGTTCAGGAATATATTTGCAATGACACTTTGAAATCTATAAATATGTACTAGAGTCCAGCGCAATTGTATTTGCCGCATTTCATTCAATAAGTACTCCTTGCATTGTACTCTACTCCCAACACATTGTTACTTTTTTTCCGCATACATACACTACTTGGCGTTGAGAGAGTAAATACTTGACGTACTTGCTATTACTCCACCAAAGTACGTACTCTACTTTCCCTCATCGCGTACGAGAGATATTTGCTGCTGCCAAAAGGGAGTAGCAAATCTACTCTCTGTATACTTGTAGTACGGTAAGTACTTGCGTATTAAATTTCAATTCTGGTTGTTAGCCTACTAGTTGATATCGTTTGCAGCGCTGGTCAGTGAAATTGAAAGAGTAAAAATAGAATATGGAAATCGACGATGTAAGGAAATGTTTACGGCCTTATTTATAAAAAATAACGTAGATTTAGACAGTTGTTTAATTTGACATTTTCATAAAACTTTTGTATTCAAGCAGCTTTTTAAATCTATGTATGTACTTAAATTTTTATGAAAGTATTATTTCTCGTCTCTAATTTTCTATAAAACTATTTGCAGTCATTAACCAACAAATAAGTTGTCAAAAACAATAACTTAAGCAATGCTGCTATACGAAATAAAATTATTAGTGGCAAATCAAAATTTTGAAAAGTGCCGAATTTCAAATTCGATAGTTGGACATGGTAGCGACGAGATGTACGAGCATTTT